ACTACTCAGGATGCTGAGGCAGGAGGATCCCTTGAGCCCAGGAATTTGAAGCCACCCTGGGCAACATAGGGAGACATCATCTCAAAACAAGAAGCTATAATAGGAATAAAACAAATAATCAAAGATTTCCTTGAAAAGGGATTGATTATCCCTTCCACCAGTCCTAATACTCCCATCTTCCTGACACAAAACCTCACAGGGAAGGATGAAGATTTGTACAAGATTTGAGAGCTATTTTTAATACTACTGTGATTCCTCATCAACTAGTAGTTCTAAGCCCCCACACTCTTTTATCCAGCGTACATGTAAACTGTGAATATCTTAACTGTTAATGATTTATGCAGTGCTTTTTAGGCATACCAATACACCCTAACAGTATTTGTTTGCCTTTACCTAGACTGGATATCAATATATCTGTACTGTTGTGCCTCAAGGTTATACCAAAGGCCCAACTTATTTTTCACACATATTAAAGACAGACCTAGCTTAGCTAAATTTCTCTTGTTATGCTTCTCCAATCTGCATAATTGTAAAAAGGACTCCTTGTACTTCCTGGAACAAAAAGCAAAAAGAGATCATTATCTACAGAAAAACTCCAGTTTTGCTTTACAAACTATCTACAGAAAAACTCCAGTTTTGCCTTACAGAACTAAAAGATTTGCAACATTTAATTCCTAAGGAGAAACCACATATACATCTGGATTGAGTAACTGGACTTCTTTGATACCCTACTCCAAAAAGTAAAAGACATCTCCGGCTGGGCGCAGTGGCCCACACCTGTAATCCTAGTACTTTGGGAGGCCGAGGCGGATGGATCACCTGAGGTCAGGAGTTCGAGACCAGCCTGACGAACATGGAGAAACTCGTCTCTACTAAAAATGCAAAATTAGCCAGGCGTGGTGGTGCATGCCTGTAATCCCATCTACTCAGGAGGCTGAGGCAGGAGAATTGTTTGAACCTGGGAGGCAGAGGTTGCAGTGAGCCGAGGTCTCAGCATTGCACTCCAGCCTGTGCAACAAGAGCAAAACTCCATCTAATATATAAAAAAAAAAAAAGACAATTCAAGGGGATTTTAGGCTTGGGTGGCTACTGCCATAGCTGGATGTCCAACTTTTCTCTAATGCCACAGACTTTATATGCATTGTAGAAAGATCAACCTAACCTCATACATTGGACATCAGAAGGACAAATAATAAATAAAGAAAAATCTTACAAGCCCCCATTTTGGCCCATGCAAATTATTAGCTGCTGTTTTTCCTTTGTTTGTTTTTTGCAGTTTTTTGTTCGTGCAAGCTATAGCAGTTCCCTTGGTGTTCTAACCCAAAAAACTGGAGAACAATGTAGGGCTATTGGTTATTACAGTCAGCAATTAGACTTTGTAGCACATGGGTGACCTCTTTGTCTGAGGGCCATTTTTGCCACTGCCATGCTCCTTACAATTACTCAGAAAATTGTAATAGTGGCTCCTCATTCTGTGGAAGCTCTTTTGAATTCACATAATACACAGCAATTTTCCGTTAATAGATTGGTTTCTTATGACATACTTATACTGTCTGCTTCATATGCTGCCCTCTCTATCTGTAATCCTCTTAATCCTGCAGTGCAACTTCCTGAAACAACAGATGAAATATTTCATCACTGTATTCTACTCACAGAAGAGCTGTTGGTGTCCAGACAGGATTTATAGGAGACATCATGTAAAAATGTTGATATTCTCTGGTTCACAGATGGATCAAATCTGAAGGATAAATTTTGAAAATACTGAGCAGGCTACAGCCTTGTGTCTCTTGTGGACATCAGAGCAATCCCACCAGGTGTGGTGGCTCACGCCTGTAATCCCAGCACTTTGGAAGGCTGAGGCGGGCGGATCACAAGTTCAGGAGTTCAAGACCAGCCTGGCCAATATGGTGAAACCCCGTCTCTACTAAAAATATGAAAATTAGCCGGGCATGGTGATGGGCGCCTGTAGTCCCAGCTACTCGGGAGGCTGAGGCAGGAAAACCGCTTCAACCTGGGAGACGGAGGTTGCAGTGAGCCTAGATTGCACCAGTGCACTCCAGTCTGGGCAACAGAGCAAGACTCTGTCTCCAAAAAAAAGATAAAAGGAAAAAAAGAGCAATCCCTTGCCTCAACTAAAATCAGCACAGCTAGCTGAATTAACAGCACTCACCAGTTTGTCAACTGGCCAAAAATCAAATGGATAATATTTATACTTAAAGGTATTATCTGTTGGTGTGGCTCATGACGTTGGGATGTTATGGAATCAGTGAGGCTTTTTTTTGTTTTGTTTTTTGTTTTTTGTTTTTTTTTTGATACAGAGGCTTGTTCTGTTGCCCAGGCTGGAGTGCAGTGGCGCGCTCTCGGCTCACTGCAAGCTCCGCCTCCAAGGCTCACGCCATTCTCCTGCCTCAGCCCCCGGAGTAGCTGGGACTAGAGGCGCCCGCCACCATGCCCGGCTAATTTTTTGTATTTTTAGTAGAGATGGGGTTTCACCGTGGTCTCGATCTCCTGACCTCGTGATCCGCCCACTTTGGCCTCCCAAAGTGTTGGGATTACAGGCGTGAGCCACTGCGCCCGGCCAATTTTTGTATTTTTAGTAGAGATGGGTTTCACCATGTTGGTCAGGCTGGTCTCAAACTCCTGACCTCATGATCCACCCGCCTCTGCCTCCCACAGTGCTGGGATTACAAGCGTGAGCCACCACGCCTGGCCAGTGAGGTTACTTAACCTCCCCCAGATATCTAATTAAACATAGCTCTCAAGTTTCTGATATTTTAGAAGCCGTCGATTTAAAGAATGTGTTTTATTAACATTCCTGAGCATTCAAACTCATCTCTCCAAAGAATAAAAAAAAGTTATTTCGCAGATGCAGCAGCAAAAGACTGTCTTGACACCAATATCACATGAAACTATAAAGGTCACTACATTCCAAATAAGTGCCATTGAACAGGAACTCCAAGGGATTCAAAAAGAGGCTTCAGATAAGAAAAAGTAGATACGGCTAACAGAGGGGTAATGCTTTTCCCCCACTTACAAATTTTGGTGTGGACCCAACAGGAGACCCATCTTGCCTTTGAGATTTCAATTTCTTAGGGTGCAACATGTTTGTGAGCCAACTCACTGAAAATCTGAGAAAATGATTGCTTGGGGAAAGAAATATTACTGGAAACCCTCACCTCCAATACCGAATAAGGTTTCCACTAAATACCCAACTTATACTAAACATAATCCAAGAAAGGTTTTTTTTGTTTTTTGTTTTTGAAACGGAGCCTCACTCTCTCCTCTGTCGCCCCAGCTGGAGTGCAGTGGCACGATCTTGGCTCACTGCAACCTCCGCCTTATGGGTTCAAGTGATTCTCCTGCCTCAGCCTCCCGAGTACCTGGGATTATAGGCATGCGCCATAACGCCCAGCTAATTTTTCTATTTTTACTAGAGACGGGGGGTTTCACCATGTTGGTGAGGCTGGTCTAGAGCTCCTGACCTCGTGATCCGCGCCCCTCAGCCTCCCAAAGTGCTGGGATTACAGGCAAGAGCCACCGCACCCAGCCAACTTTTTAAGTATAGAAAATTTTACAGGTCGGGCGCTGTGCCAGGCGCCTGTAATCCCAGCTACTCAGGGGGCTGAGACAGGAAAATCGCTTGAACCCAAGAGTCGGAGGTTGCAGTGAGCCGAGATCGCACCAATGCACTCCAGCCTGGGTGACAAAGGAAGACTCCATCTCAAAAAAAAAAGAAAAAAAAAAAAGAGGTGGAGATTTCCCAGAACAGAGGTTCCCTCCCCCTTTTTAGACTATGTAGGGTAACTTCCAAACATTGCCAGAGCATTGGTATACTGTCATGGCGCTGGTGGGAGTTAGCATGCTAATACATTATAATTAGCATATAATGAGCAGTGAAGATGACCAGAGGTCACTTTCATTACCATCTTGGTTTTGGTGCGTTTTAGCCAGCTTCTTTACTGCATTCTGTTTTATCAGCAGGGTCTTTGTGACCCACATCTTGTGCCAACCTCCTGTCTCATCCTGTGACTAAGAATGCCTAACCTGGGAATGCAGCCGAATAGTTCTCAGCCTTATTTTATCCAGCCATTTTCAAGATGGAGTTGCTCTGATTCCAATGCCACTGACAATGATGAGCACTTGCCAGCAAAGAGGTGAACTCATGGATTTAAGGCACTTGAAATATCTCAGTGTAAAAGCACCCTGTGCATACAAACTCCATGTTTGAACACCGCAGCCATTGTCCTGTAACGTAATAGATAATAGCATTTGTCTTATTCTCTCTTTGACGTTGATATCAGATTTCTAGAGGAATCTATAGGTTAAAGATATAGCATAAATAAAAGTGTTGCTAATGGGCTGAGCACGGTGGTTCACGCCTATAATCCTAGCATTTCGGTAGACCGTAGCAGGCGGATCATTTGAGGACGGAAGTTCGAGACCAGCCTGGCCAACATGAGGAAACCCTGTCTCTACTAAAAATACAAAAATTAGCCGGGTGTGGTGGCACACGCCTGTAATCCCAGGTACTTGGGTGGTTGAGGCACGAGAATCGCTTGAAGCCGGGAGGCATAGGTTACAGTGAGCCAAGATCACACCACTGCACTCCAGCCTGAGTGACAGAGAGAACTGTCTTTTTAAAAAAAAAAAGAAAAAAAAAAAAAAGGAAGAAGCCGAGCATCACAAATTCTGAAATAAGAAGCCTCCAAACACGCGGGCAATCAGTTGCACACAATACCCCCAGAAATGTGTGTATGGCCTCTTCTAAGATGGGAGACCCTCCTCGGCATCTGGACCTGGAGTCGCCATTTTCTAGCGCCCCTCGCAGTGGAGCTTGGCCCTTCCGAAAGTCGGAAGAAAGTCACCTTCAGCGCTGCCCATCTCTGGGAACTACATTACCCAGAATCCGCCCTGCGGAATGGAAGCGTGACTGAGCCAATGAAGCTTCAGAGAAGCCACGCCATTGCGGGGGCACGTAAAGTCAAGCCGAGACTTCCGGCGTCCTAGCCGTGGCAGCCATTTTGGCCTGTGAGGCCCGTGCGGAGGTTCTGGGTCTGGACGAGCTCGGGAGGAGAGGTTGTGGCCGTAGCGCACAGGCGGATCTGAGGCTCGGCGACGCCACTGGTCGCAGCCCGGGACAGGACAACCACAGGAACACCGCCGAGCCCGCGTCCCCCCGCCCGCCAACAGAGTCATGGCTGCAGCGGCCGCTCTGAGGGACCCCGCTCAGGTGAGTGCTGCGACCTCCGGGCCTCACCCACCCGCACCCTGAGGCCCCTGATCGTTAGGGGCGTCTCCTCGCGTCCCTGCAGCCCAGGCCTCTGTCAGGGACAGAAAGGCGCCGGCGGGTGGGATCCCCGTTTCCGACACCCAATTAATGCGGTCGGCAGAGCGAGACCGGCCGAGGGTCCGGCACGGGCAAAGGCCTGCAGGCGCGACAGAGGCAGGAGGATGCGGAACACGGGGACATCTTGTGTCTACCGGGAACGAAGAGTGAGCCGCAGTTCTTTCTTTTTTTTTTCTTTTTTGAGACGGAGTCTCACCCTGTCGCCCAGGCTGGAGTGCAGTGGCGCGATCTTGGCTCACTGCAACTTCCGTCTCCCCGGTTCAAGCGATTCTCCTGCCTCAGCCTCCCGAATAGCTGGGATTACAGGCGTGTGCCACCACGGCGTTTCATCATGTTGGCTGGGCTGGTCTCGAACTCTTGACGTCAGGTGATCCGCCCGCCTTGGCCTTCCAAAGTGCTGGGAGTACAGGCGTGAGCCACCGCGCCTGGCCGAGGCGGAGTTGTTTCTTCAGTACCAGGCTGAGGGTTGACCTTTGACTTTGAGGTCGCTAGAAGCCGTGGACAGTTTTGAGCAAAGGAAATCTGTGTTGGAGTTAGGATTCCCAAAAGATGTTCAAAGGAAGTACAGAGTTGAAGGCGGTGATGAGGATATTGAGGCTCTGAGAGGTTGAATCATTAAGAGGTGACATTGAGCACTGGGCCACAAGATCATCTGGCGGCAGGGCCAAAAAAAGCTTACAGAGAAGCCTGAATTTATCAAATCTGAGCACGGACACTTTTGTGAAAGCCCTGCCTTTTGGCACACCTCCTGGCTACGAAATCACTTAGGGAACCCACAGAAGGAAGTAGGGGATGCTCTAGTCCCTCGTCCTCACCTACATGTCTAGATCTTGGCGTCTTTTTAAAATTTTTTTTGGGGGCGACAGGTTCTCACTCTGACACCCAGGCTGGATTGCGGCGACGCGATCAGGGCGCAGCATAGCGTCGACCTCCCCGGGCTCAGGAGAGCCTCTCATCTCAGTCTCCCAAGTAACTGGCTTTTTGTATTTTTAGTAGAGATGGAGTTTCGCCATGTTGCCCAGGCTAGTCTCAAACCCTTGGGCTCAAGCAGTCATCCTGCTTCGGCTTCCCAAAGTGCTGGGATGACAGGCAGGAACCACCGCACATTCTAGGACACTTATGTGCTATTTCTCCAGTCCTTCGATCTGGGGATCTTGGAAAAACCTCAAACCCCAACTCTACATCAGTGTCATAGGTTATGGGGAGTTGTTGCCATGTCTATCAACTAATGTAACACGTGTGGAGGGTTCACCCAGGAGCTGATACTGGGATGTGCAAATACTTAGAAGGGAAACTGGAGGGGTGAGGTGATGTTACCAATTTCTTAATAGGCTCTCTCTGGTTACAGAGTGGACAACAGACTGTGGGGTTGAGGGAGGAGGAAGATCAAACTGGAAGCTACTGCACTAGTCGAGGTGAGGATTAATGGACTAGAGTTGTGGCTTAGGCAATGTGGCTAGATCTGGATTTGTGTTTTTTAGAGGGGCAAGTCAATTTTTTTTTTTTTTTTTCCGAGACAGTCTGGACCTGTCGCCCAGGCTGGAGTGCAATGGTGGAATATTGGTTCACTACAACCTCTGCCTCCCGGGTTCAAGCAATTCTGCCTCAGCCTCCCATAGCTGGGATTGCAGGCACGCGCCTCCATGCCCGGCTAATTTTTGTATTTTTAGTAGAGATGGGGTTTCGCCGTTTTAGCCAGGCTGGCCTCGAACTCCTGACCTGGTGATCCACCCGCCTCGGCCTCCGAAAGTGCTGGGATTACAGGCTTGAGCCATCATGCCCAGCCCAGCAACTCAGTTTTTAAATGGGAACAGTGAGAGTTTGAGAGGATTCAGGAAATACCCCTGGGTTTTTGGTCTTAGCAGCTGTGGCAATGGGAGCTCCATCAACTGAGATGAGCAAGTTGATAGCAGGTGTAATATTCACTGAGGCTATCAGGAGGTTTGTTGTGGCCATTCTGAGTGGAACAAAACACGAATTGCTTTTGCTTTGCTCTCCCCTGCAACAATCAACACAGAGTACTTCTGTGACTAGATATGTGTGGATGGTTTTCCTCATACACCAAGTAGTTCTCCAGGAGACATCAGATCCCACAGGTGAAGTCTCAGTCCCATGGGACTGTCCGCCAACCCCTTTCGATGCCAATCACAAGCCCCAGGATGTTTTTTTTTTTTAACCTGTCTTTTGACTGACTTGCTATAAATCAGGTTCCCATGACCCCTTCCTTGACTTCCATTAAATTGCTAGAGCCAGTCACAAAACCTCAGGAGACGCTTTAATTTGCCAGTTTATTTTAAAGAATATTTATTACAAAGTTTACGAATGAAGAGATGCATAAGGGGAAGCGACCCAGAGCTTTTATGATCTTCAGGCACACCACCATCCAGGAACTTCCATGTGTTTGGCTATTTGGAAGCTCCCCAAACCCTGTCTTTATGGGGTTTTATCAAGGCTTTGTTACATAGGCATGATTAATTAAATCATTGGCCAATGCTGATCAGCTTAACCCTTGGCCCCCTCTCCCCTTTCTGGAGATTGCAGTGGGGGCTGAACTTTCCAGACCTCGAATCCCGACATAGTCTTTTCCCTGACGAGTCTCCATCGTGAAGTTATCTAGGGGTTACCAACCATCATTCAACTCATTACCATTGAAACTCACTTAAATTTGAGAATTTCGTGAATTTTAGGAGTTGCCTGCCAGAAAAGGAGATGACCAAATATATATTTCTCAATATCACAGCCGTGTTAAGATTCTAAAATGTATTAGATACTACTTAATGGAGCTATCAAATGGGCAGCTGGACACATAGATGCAAATATCTGGGGAAGGGTTGATATTGGAGGTATCTAATATATGGTGACTACTGTGTGGACCGAGATGATTGAGTCATGGCTCACATTTGGAAGGCACAACCTTCAGATTATGCTGATGACACTGTTGGACAGGAAGTGGGGATTGGGTTTCCTGCTTGTGTACCTGGTGATGGTACTGGATTTCAGAAACACAGGTGAGGGAGGTAAATGGCCATGAAGGGAGGGTATATATGTTTCTTTTTTTTTTTTTTTTTTTTGAGACAGTTTTGCTCTGTCGCCCAGACTAGAGTGCAGTGCAACCTCACTCGGCTCACTGCAACCTCTGCCTCCCGGGTTCAAATGATTCTCCTGCCTCAGCCTGCCAAGTAGCTGGGATTATAGGCGCCTGCCACCACATCCGGCTAATCTTTGCATTTTTAGTAGAGACGGGGTTTCACCATCTTGGCCAGACTGGAAAGGGAGGATATATCTGACAGCCTAGTTTGGCAAGTGACATAATGCTTCCAAGGAATGAATAGACTTGAGATGCTTGCTGACGTATAGGAGTAGCTGAGGGAAGATGACACTCAGACCGGAGCTTGTGTTTATTGGCTACTTTGTGGCCTCACCAAGATTTTGAGATGACTTTGGTGTGGCCTGGTGTGTTTCATTCAGCCTGGTACCAGATATGGAGGCAAATATGGTCACCTTGTGAGAGTCACTATGCCCAAGATTGATGACCAATGGTTCTGGACTTTGAATGGGGTTAGGTGGACAGAAGAAAGTCATAGGTGCCAGGCATAGTGGCTCACACCTGTAATCCCAGCACTTTGGGAGGCCAAGGTGGGCAGTTAACATGAGGTCGGGGGTTCGAGATCAGCATCGCCAACATGGTGAAACCCCATCTCTACTAAAAATACAAAAAAAAGTAGCTGACGTGGTGGCAGGCACCTGTAATCCCAGCTATTCAGGGGCTGAGACAGGAGAATCACTTGAACCTGGGAGGCAGAGGTTGCAGTGAACCGAGATTGTGTTATTGCACACCAGCCTGGGCGACAAAAGTGAAACTCTGTCTCAAAAAAAAAGTCAGCCGGGCATGGTGGCTCACACCTGTAATCCCAGCACTTTGAGAGGCTGAGGCAGGTGGATCACTTGAGGCCGGGAGTTCGAGACCAGCCTGACTAACATGGAGAAACCCCATCTCTACTAAAAAGTATAAAATTAGCCAGGCGTGGTGGCACATGCCTCTAATCCCAGCTACTCGGGAGGCTGAGGTAGGAGAATCACTTAAACCTGGGAGGTGGAGGTTGCGGTGAGCCGAGATCGCACCATTGCTCTCCAGCCTGAGCAACAAGAGTGAAACTCCGTCTCAAAAAATAATAAATAAAAAGTCATAGTTTCTGAGGATAGCAAATGCAGCACAGAAGTGGAATAGCACCATAAATATCTGAAAATGCTAGTGGTTCTTTTTGTCTGTGGATTTATGCATGGAGGGGTTCAAAGAATGATTTGGGGCTACCACTGCTATTGAGAAACATTAGAATTCTGTGGTAATTTTGGATTCCTTTTTAATTTACCAAGACTACTGTGGATGATGTCAGCCACATTATGGTATAAGCCCTGAAGTTAAGGCCAGTATCATGTGCTACTTTTATGTCTGGTGATACCTCAAATGGTCTGAGTGCAAATCCCCCTCCCCACTCTGCTCTTTTGGATAATGTGTCCTAGCCTAACTACCCTTTTAATCAAGAGGACTAGGCAGAGTTCCTGGTTATTATTTATTTGTAGCAGGTTTCAATTTGATTTCTACCCGCAGAGATTCAAACAAGCCAGTTGCAGCTGGGTGTGGTGTCACACACCTGTGGTCCCAGCTACTTAGGAGGCTGAGGTGGGAGGATTGCTGGAACCCAGTGAGTTCAGGCTGCAGTGGGCTGTGATTGTGCCACTACGCTCCAGCAGGAGTGACAGAGCAAGACCCTGTCTCAAAAATTAAAAATAAAAACAAGCCAGTTGCATTCTTTTAAGGGAATCAGGGACTGTCACATCCTCTTGATTGAGCAAAGCTTACATACCACAGTCCCTGGTTGCGCTCTCTCTTTTTTTTTTTGAGACAGAGTCTCGCTCCATTGCCCAGGCTGGAGGCAGTGGCGCCATCTGGGCTTACTGCAACCTCCATCTCCCGGGTTCGAGAGATTCTCCTGTCTCAGCCTCCTAAGTAGCTGGGGCTACAGGTGCATGCCACCACATCCGGCTAATTTTTGTATTTTAGTAGAGACGGGGTTTCACCTTGTTGTTCAGGCTGGTCTCGAACTCCTGACCTCAGGTGATCCACCTGCCTCAGCCTCCCAAAGTGCTGGGATTACAGGTGTGCGCGACCGCACCTGGCTGCTCTCTCTTATGCATAGTTCAACCCCCATGTGGCTGTCTGTGGTGAGTGGTGTCCTCTTCTTTCAAGCTGTAAGCATATTTGATTAATGAACTTTCTTGATGACTTGTGTTCAGCGTCAGGTGTTGTGTGTTTGGCCATCACCATAACCCTAGGGTGAGACTCCTACTCTTACCAGTAGAAGAAAGGGTGATTAAAATACTTTAACTTCTGGCAAGACCAGAGAGAGGCCTATGGTGTGGGCAGTTAGGTAGTGGCGGCAATTGGCATGTGTCTGTGGTGTCCAAAAATGTGAAGGATGTGTATGTACATAAAGATTATGTTTGAAAGGCCTCAGGCACTGCATTGGGATTCACGTGACCTTTGCTATACCAGGGGAATTGCTAGAAAGGAGAGGATGAAACCCTTTATTTCAGGACCACAGCAGAGATACCTGTTTGCTTATCTGCGTCTTGTTGCTGATGGCTATGTGTGATGATTAATGGTCCCATGAGGACATAGTGGCACTAGTGGGCAAAGTTTCTCTTCTGAGTTGGGGATCCTGGGAGAAGGAGGATGGGCAAGGGTAGATATGTTGGGGAAGTGGATTGTGGGTCTTCAGCATAGGGGCCATTTGTGGTTTCATCTATCCCCATCATGACAGAGCAGTGTGACCTTTGAAGACGTGGCTGTAAACTTTTCCCTGGAGGAATGGAGTCTTCTTAATGAGGCTCAGAGATGCCTGTACCATGACGTGATGCTGGAGACCTTGACACTTATATCCTCCCTGGGTAAGGTACTCATATTCACCTGTGACCTGAGTTAGTCTCTGCCCCTCTCCTTTATGCCTTATCGCTTTCTCACATCAGGACCATGGACACAGCTTCATTCTCCAGTTCTCTGGAGAGGTTCTGTTGCTGGTTGGACTGAGGTGTACTTACTCTCCTTTCCTTAAGCAGCTCCAGCCTGCTTTGTTGCAGGCTTCCAGAGAAGGAGTCAGGGTCAGGAGTCTTAAAGTCACCCTAATGTATCCCACCTTGGTTGTCCTCTGCCTGTCTGGGTGACTGTGCAGATCCAAGGCTTCTGTTTGTCTCAAGTTCCATTTCCTTCCTCTAGCTCACATTTGTTCATGTCACAAATTGCCGGCACTGACATGGTCATTATGTACATGAACCACAGCCTGTTCTTGCAATACCCTACTTCAAAATTCTTTTTGTAGTATTTCATCAGGCACAATAATACCTGTCATCCCAGCTCTTCAGAGGCTACTCAGATCCCAGGAGTTTGAGGCCAGCCTGGCCAACACAGCAGGTCCTTATCTCTAAAAATTTATAGGAAGGAATTCTTTTTATACTATTTAGTTTCCTTTCCTGTGGAATATCAAATGCAGAGTTGGTCTGAGCCAGTATTGGCTGTTCATCTGTCCTATGTTTCTCTTAGTACTTAACATGATCGAGTTTCCATGTAGTTGCTCATCTTGGTGGTGAAATGAAGAGCCCGTGGTTGTCCCTAAGATGTAAATGAGTCCAGCCTTAGCAAGGACTTGGGGCAGCTTTCTTCTGAAGAATAGCATGTGAGTGAGGCCATGACATCAGGGCTCTATTCAAATTGTGCCACATACCTCTTCTATTTGACAGTATTTCTGTGCCAATAGAAGTAGCCCCGCTTTATGTCTTTCCTTCCCCATTATTGAGAGTGCCAATTTATTAGTCCTACACCTTGTCGCTTCTGCTGTTATATTCAACCGAGGACTAATTTTCATATATCTGGACTCCACACCTCACCTATTTTTCTCACTGCTCTGTCTGCAGTGGTCTTCAATATTGACTCATGTATTTTGTATTATGAAGTATATACCCATTCTTTTTTTTCTTTTGAGATGGAGTTTCACTCTTGTTTCCCAGGCTGGAGTGCAATAATGCGATCTCAGCTCACTACAACCTCCGCCTCCCAGGTTCAAACAATTCTACCTCCGCTTCCCAAGTAGCTAGGATTACAGGGGCCCACCACCACATCCAGCTAATTTTTTGGGTATTTTTAGTAAAGATAGGGTTTTACCATGTTGGCAAGACTGGTCTTGAACTCCTGACCTCAGGTGATCCACCCCACTCGGCCTCCCAAAGTGCTGGGATTACAGGTGTGAGCCACCACGCCCTGCCTCTATGAAGTATATATCCTTTTTTTTTTTTTTTTTTTCCTTGAGACAGATTCTTGCTCTGTTGCCCACGCTGGACTAGGCTCACTGCAACCTCCACCTCCCAGGTTCGAGTGATTCTCCTGCCTCAGCCTCCTGAGTAGCTGGGATTACAGGCGCACGCCACCATGCCTGGCTAACTTTTTTGTTTTTAGTAGAGAAGGGGTTTTGCCATGTTGACCAGGCTGGTCTCAAACTCCTGACCTTGTGATCCACCCGCCTCGGCCTCCCAAAGTGCTGGGATTAGAGGCATGAGCCACGTTTCTTGGCCATGAATATACTCATTCTTAACAGTCCCTGACCAAAGGATGTCGTGCTCTAGTCATGTTGTGGTGGCCTGGACATATTCTTTATATAGTACTCACATGTCATCAGCAAATAAGGTCCCACAGGCAAGTTGTTTGCAAATGAAGGAGTTATAGACCCTGCCGTTATTCTGTCTGTTGCCTCATTTAGTCATGCCCTTGACAACATGAGGCCTCCTATATCTGTGATAATGCTAAGCAGCCCCAACCTCAACCTGAACCCAACTCCCTATGCGTGCAGATAACTCCATAGACTAGTTTTTTTGTTTGTCAGATACTCTTGTAGGTAGACTGCATACTCAACAAAGTCAACATGTACCTCACCAGCGTTTCTTTGCTTTTAGGTTGTTGGCATGGAGGGGAAGATGAGGCAGCACCTTCTAAGCAGAGCACTTGTATACATATATACAAAGACCAGGGAGGTCATAGTGGAGAAAGGCCTTATGAGTGTGGGGAATATAGGAAATTATTAAAGAACAAGTCCTGCCTCACTGAACCCAGAAGAGATCACAAACACAGGAATGTTCGCACTGGAGAAAGACCTTATGAGTGCAGCAAATATGGGAATTTATTTCACCAAAACCCTACACTCCATATTGGTGAGAGATTTCATACTGGGCAAAAGACCTATGAATGCAGTGAGTGTGGAAAATCATTTCACCAAAGCTCTTCACTCTTGCAGCATCAGACGCTTCACACTAGAGAAAAGCCTTATGAGTGTATTGAATGTGGGAAAGGCTTTGCTGAAAAGTCCGGTCTCATTAACCACAGGAAAGTTCACTCTGGAGCAAAGCGTTATGAATGCAATGAATGTGGGAAGTCCTTTGCTTATACATCTAGTCTCATTAAACACAGGAGGATTCACACTGGAGAGAGGCCTTATGAGTGCAGTGAATGTGGGAGATCCTTTGCTGAAAACTCCAGTCTTATTAAACACTTGAGAGTTCACACAGGAGAAAGGCCTTATGCATGTGGTGAGTGTGGAAAATCATTTCGCCGAAGCTCTTCACTCTTGCAGCATCAGAGAGTTCACACTAGAGAAAGGCCTTATGAATGTAGTGAATGTGGAAAATCCTTTAGCTTAAGGTCCAACCTCATTCACCATCAGCGAGTTCATACTGGAGAAAGGCATGAGTGTGGGCAGTGTGGGAAATCCTTTAGCCGAAGATCTAGCCTTATTATACATCTGAGAGTTCACACTGGAGAAAGGCCTTATGAGTGCAGTGAATGTAAGAAATCCTTTGCTGAAAACTCCAGCCTTATTAAACACTTGAGAGTTCACACTGGAGAAAGGCCATATGAATGCATTGATTGTGGAAAATCATTTCGCCACAGTTCTTCGTTCCGTCGCCATCAGAGAGTTCATACTGGAATGAGGCTTTGTAAGTGAAGCAAATTTTGGAAATTCTCTTGCCCAGGCTTTTTGCTCCTTCAAGGCGAGAGAGTTCACACTGGATCAAGGTGTTATGAGTGTGGCAAATGGGGAATATTCTTTAGCTGGAACGCTAGCTTCTTTACATAAAAGAGTGCTACCACTGAAGAAGTGCCTTTTGAGTGCAATGAATGTGAGAAAGCCTTCATCATCTCTCATTGGTTACCAGAATATTTACATGAGGAAAATACCACAGATGTGGAGGCAATATTATTTCTTCTTCGGTTTAACACTGGAGGAGACCCCTTATGAGGATGCCATCTGCCTAAATTGAATGTGCCATACATCAAATAGCTGCATACATTCCAGGTATTGTGGGAACCACATAGTATTTTTCAACCTGCCCAGGTCTCTTGCTAGACTTCTGTGACTGACAGTTCTCTTCTAAAAAGCATTTCACCTTTACCACTTGGCAGGTGCCCACAGTACATCATTCGCCTAACTCATCATGATCCAGAAGTAACTTTGATTTTGTTTCATTCAACAGAGGGATTTTTTAGTATCCTCAGTACTCACTCTATTCTCATTTCTTTCTCTCTGATGAGTTAGGCCATGAAACTGACACATTTTTGGCACAGAGGACTTTTCTGATAACCTGAAAAGATGGACTGCCTTTTTCAGGGATCTTTTGGATCTCACAGAATTCTTAAGATGGAATTTTCCAGCCTGCCAGTCATGAATCTCAGACAGCCTGCCGCCTATTGCCCTGATTTGTGTTGTAATAAAGGCCCTGTTGTTTAAGACACCTTCAGTCTTTGCAAGAGGGCATGGAAGCTCCAAGCGCTTTTCTCATACTTTACCCTATGCATCTCTATCTGCACGTTTTGTACTATTTATAATTAACCAGTAAATTATTTTCCCTGAGTTTTACGTGCCGCTCTATCAAATTAATCAAATCTGGTCGTGGGGGGTCCATGGGATTCCTGGTTTATAGTTCATCAGTCAAAAGCAGAGGCTCTGGGGCTTTGATTGGCATCAGAAATGGGAGCGTCAGTTTTGGTGACTGAGTCCTCAAACTGGGGGATGTGATGCTATCTGCGGGTAGATAATGACTGAGTTGAACTGGAGGACCCCCAGCTTGTATCCACTGGAGGATTGCTTGGTGTGGGTAGAAAACACGCCGCATATCTGGTCACAGAATTATTCCATATTGATTATTGTTATGTGACAGACAACAGAGGAAAAGTTTATTTTTTTCGACAAATATGCTATGGCTTCCCTTCTATTCCACATCTTTCTACTCCTGCCATACTATTTCTTTCTCTCCAAGTTTGTTATTCCTCAGAGTTCTCATAAATGGAAAGGATATGCACTTTGTTGAAATAAGAATTTCATGTTAACCAAGTTTTCATGATAGCCGTGAGTTTCACTTAATTATCTCAGAACTTAGAGCTTACTGTTCTCTACTTACTATCCATTGAGACTTAATGTGTTCTTGGCCATCACAGAAACTTTACTAGCTACTTATGTCATTGTCAATGGATAACTCTCTGAATCCACATTAATTACTTTGTAATTATCTCGGTCCTCAACTGTGTTTCAGAGATAATCTCCAGTCTTCATGCAGACGCTATCACTGCACCTACAAGTGAAATGATAATCACTTCCTAGCAAGGAAGTTGGATCATGGAATACAAGATAATTTATCCAGAATCAGATAGTCTTGTTCCACACCTGCAGGAATGTCAACATCGCAACCACCATGGCAAATATTGATTTAATAAGCAACTACTATTCCCAGATAAGTGTCAGAATCTTAGAAGAAATTGTAATATCTTAGACAATTTAGACGTGATGGAGGGTGGATGATGAGAAATTACTTAATGGGTACAATGGATACTATTTGAGTGATGGATACCCTAAAGCCCTGATTTAGCTTCTACACAATCTGTACATGTAACCAAATCACACTTATACCACATTAAATTATTTAAAAAAAAAAAAAAAAAAGAAGTGTTAAATAGAAAAATGCTGCTGCTTTGTGGGATTGGAACACAATACAGATGAAGAGATAGAACATAGTTGGAGGGACTCAGAGGCATGGTACCACCTTGTGTAATTCCCTTAGGGCTGCCTAGGATCTCTTCTCCATATTGTCTCTCATACTCTCTTTAAAGTATTCTCATTGATAACCAAAACATTCTCACAACATTCATTATAAGCTTTACTCTGCCAGGTGCAGTGGCTCACGCCTGTAATCCAAGCACTTTGGGAGGCCAAGACGGGTGGATCACAAGATCATGAGATCGAGACCATCCTGGCTAACATGGTGAAACCCCATCTCTACTAAAAATACAAAAAAAAAAATTAGCTGGGCGTGGTGGCGGGCGCCTGTAGTGCCAGCTACTCGGGAGGCTAAGGCAGGAGAATGGCTTGAACCCAGGAGGCAGAGCTTGCTGTTAGCCGAGATCGCACCACTGGACAATAGCCTGGGTGACAGAGTGAGACTCTATCTCAAATAAAATAAAATTAAATTAAAAAACCTTTACTCACATAAAGTGAAGAACAAGAAGACTTTTACCCATAGTTTTTGAGTTGATGTTTAGTGTCCTTATAACATTTTTTGGATATGCATTTTTATCCTTTTGGGAATATGATTTACAAATGCGAGCTGCAGGACTATTTCATTAACGTGTTGAATGCAAGAGTTAAAACTTCCTGTCCCATTTAGTGAATGGAAAAATACTTAAGTTACATGAATAAAAAGATTGTAAATTACCAACAGCAAGATAATCAGGGACGTAAAACATCTCAATCCCTAAATGTTGCTTAATGACAACATGTTTTGTAAGTACATTTTATTTTCACAGTTATTAGTATTTTATTCCCTTCTCGCTGGAAAGATGTCCAGTGATTCTGAATCAATACACGTGTGTGGGGTGTCACCTAGAAGTCATAAAATGACTTATTCAAATTAACCATGTTATGACCACTCACACTCGCTGATACATATCTTCCTGTAACTTTTGTGGAGAGTGAAATTTTCTTTTCTTTTTTCTGTTTTTTTTTTTTTTTTTTGAGACAGAGTTTCACTCTTTTACCCAGGCTGGAGTGCAATGGTATGATCTTTGCTCACTGCAACTTCCACCTCCCAGGTTCAAGTGATTCTCCTGTCTCAGCCTCCAGAGTAGCTGGGATTACAGGCGCCCACCATCACACCTGGCTAATTTTTGTATTTTTAGTAGAGACGGGGTTTCACCATCTTGGCCAGGCTGGTCTCGAACTCCTGACCTTAGGTGATCCACCTGCCTCGGCCTCCGAAAGTGCTGGGATTACAGGCGTGAGCCACCACGCCCAGCCTATTTATGTTAATTTTTATACCATAGAAGTGACTAAGGGCAGGTCTAGAGTTAGTTAAGGTGGAGGTGGTGATAAAGAGAAGGACAGGGTTATATTGACAAGGCTGACAGAAGGGGTAGTCCTTTTAGTGAAATAGATGAGGGGTTTTAGATCTGCACAAACCTTTTTGTGGAAGTCTAACTTTGCTCTTGGGTAGTTTATGGGATGTAGTCTTATTTACTACAAGGTTGCCAGGCGGTAGGAGCAGAAAATCGGTCCTGGCTGCAGGTCATTACAACAATGAGTGCTCGGGATAACTGTGTCAATTAGAGGGCTGCGACATAAATATTTGTGTGAAAAGGCTAGCTATTGATCTTTTACATTTCTACAAGGTATGACAGCAAGCATTAAAAGCAATAGTCTGAGGTGAGTCAGACTTAGTTACATTAATAAAAAAGGAGCTAGTAACAGAATAAAGAAAGCAATATAAAAGGTGTATGAAAATTAATCTTTCTTTAACTTAGTAGGGCTTGATCCTACTACAGTAACCCATAATTTTCAGAGGAAGATGTTTTCTTGACTTGAGTATGGTGGGTCCATTTTTTCTTTTTCGGCTGTGCGGACGGCAGTCTCAGTGGTTACCGGTGTAAAATAGAGTTCTTCCCAGGCTGGCTTGAGCTTTTTCTATCTTTTGATGAGGATGTGGTTTTCAGGCTGGTGCTGGTGTACTGGAAATTCTAGGGGTGGTACCTGTGCTAAAAGACTTTTAGTTCCGAGGGAAAGGAAAGTGGAAGATAAATTAAGTATGTAATTTTTGCTGCATATTCTGGGGCTTTAGGCCGCATGGTGACGCCTTCTGCTCCACTGTTGTTCAGCGCCGGCCAGGGGATGCTGCGGCCCTGCCCCTTAATGTCTTGGCCTTCTTGTGGCCTTCACCGCCCTTGCTCACTGTGGCCTTTGTGGCCTTGGGGATGAGGGGTCTTGTGACTTACCTGGCCACCTTAGGGCCTTAAGAAAGCTAAATACCATTGTATATTTGACAATTTTTTTTGTATGATTTTATATCAGGTAAGTTAAAGTTTATCTTTATATTAATGTGCTATTAATGTTAAACTTAATTTTAATAAAATCTTATAGACACTATCTAATTTTAATGTCTGACTCTAAGGTAAGGCTTTTACAGACTCTTTTTATAATTTTTGTTAAAGAGCAGGTTGGTGCTTTAAGAAAAATCTGTCATGCTTTAATTTTAATGTCCAGTTCACAGAAAAACTGGATGATACCCTTTTAACTTTAGCCAGTATGTTTACACACAGAATTTCCTTTACAATTAACATTGTAAAACTTGCTTAAACCTTTAAAACAAAAAAATTTTTTTAACCTTTAATGTAGGTAAACATCCATATTCTTATGCCTCCTTGTAATCTTATTAAAAGTAGATTTTATTTTTCTTACATACCTTGTACATAAACTGTTTAATAATAATTTTACATCCAGGAGGCCTAACTACTTTTAAATTATACAATATTTATTGCATAAATTCCCTTTTATAGCTTTTCTTACAACTTTCACAATCTCTAACATGTCTTAACTTTCTGCCTTCCTTTTATACTATTTTTTTTCCTAGTTTCACCTTCTTTGTCTTTTTTTGATTTCTGTCTCTTCCACTTTCTCTCACTCTTTCCTTCTATTTATCTCTCTAATTTGCACTCTATTTTCCGCGCGCTCTCATCCCGTTTCCCTTTGTTCTCCTGAGTTCTCCAGCTCCTGCCGCAAGCAGGGCTGGGCCACCGCACAGGCCCCGCCTCCGCGCTATTTTTCCTGTTGTTGTTTTTTTTCCCCAGATTCCCCTTTTTACTCCCCCACCCCCTTTTCTTTTTACACTTAGTTTCTTGGATTGAATGGGATTTTCGCGACTGCAGTCTGGGCGCCGGGCAGTCATTGGCCGAGCAGCTTGACAGATATGCCGGCGGCAAATTGCAAGAATTACGTCTTTTCACCTCCTATGCCCTCCACCCGGAGCCGGTCCCCAACCTCTTTTCGGGAAGAGGGACTTAATCTTTGGCGTGCCTGCCTAGCTGTTTGGCTCTGCGCTTGCTGTTTTTGTTTTCTTTCTCTCTGACTTCCTCTCCTAGTTTGTTTTTCTTTTCTGCTGGTCTTTCCTTTGTCTCTGCCAGCCACCTATGCTGCTGTTTTCTCCTCGGCTTTTCCCTCCCCTAGCGGAGGGACCGGCAGGAGCGGAGCTATTGTTTCTGCCTCTGAAAAGGAAAGGGGAGTTCTGAATATTTTTCTTACTACCGGAGGTTTGTGTGAGGTTCAACCCCCGACTGGGGATTTCTCACCTCTGTCTGACCTCCCAAGGCATCCTAAGGAATATTTTACCACCCCTGCGGTTTTTCTCTCCTTGGTATGTCCTAACCAAGGAATGCTTTACCATCCCGGCTTTTTCCTTAGTCCCCGACCACCCACCAAGGAAATACTTTACCGGCTCCTGCAGCTTC